CTGCGAGTTTGAGAGCTATCTCTTTAAAACTTTCAGAATATATATAAAATTAGTAGCTGAACAAGTTTACTTAAGACACAAAGTTAGTTATCTTAATAAAATAACCAGATATTAATGATTTTAGTACTGACAGATTTTTAGTTATTTTGTGTAAAAATGATTTACGGAAAGAGTTTTTTTCAAACTTCTATTTTAAATAATCAAGTTAATAATATTATTAATTATTATAATTTTTTATTTATTTAAAAATACTTAAATTTGTATTATTACTCTTAAAAAAATCAATTTTATTATTAAAAATAATAATACAACTCTTGGTGATTGTTTTTTAAGTTTAGTTAAAACAAGTATAATAATTAAAAAATTACCAATATAACAATATACAAAATTTTAACAATATTGCATCAATATTTTAAATAAAAAATTTGAAGAATTTGATAATGATTTATATATTTTAAGATATTTTTTAATGCCAAATTTTCATAGAACAAATTTAATTAATACCGGTGGATATACATATCCTACCCCTTAACCATCCTGCATTTCAATTTAAATACTTGTATAGGATGTGACCAATTGTAGGTGATAAATAAGCATTAGCTATATGTTTTATATAGCCAATACATATTTATCACACCTATAATTGGTCACACCCTATATAAGTATTACTTGTATAGGGTGTGACCAATTGTAGATGATAAATAAGCATTAGCTATATGTTTTATATAGCCAATACTTATTTATCACAACTATAATTGGTCACACCCTATATAATTTGCATGTTTCTAACTATATACAACTCTGTAAACAGTTTTTATTAGATCCTGACCCTAACTCTAAATATTAACGCTCTAGAACTATAATAGTTTCATAGTCAATAGCTGAATACAATTCAATAAATAAATATAGAATGATAAAAAAAAATAATACTTCGCTTCAGCTGTTGCCTCCACTACACTTTTTTAATCTAAAACATCAGGTTAACAGTTTTTATTAGGTTTTTATCCTAACCCTAAATATGAATGCTCTAAGACTATAATAGTTTCACAGTCAATAGCTGAATACAATTCAATAAATAAATACAGAATAATAAAAAAATAACGCTTTGCTTTGGCTGTCGCCTTCACTACACTTTTTTAACCTAAAACATCAGGTTAACAGTTTTTATTAGGTCCTTACCCTAACTCTAAATATGAACACTCTTAAACTATAATGGTTTTACAGTATAAATGTAACATAGTTTAGTCACAGTACCCAAATTTAGAACATATTTTTGCTTTGTATTTTTAATATAAACTAGTTTTAACACCTAATTTGCATGCTTCTATCTACTTCTCTAAATAATAATATTTAGATAGAAGTGTACAAAATTTGTTCCAAAATCTCTGTATTATACCTAAATAGTGAAGTTTGTCCTTTCAACTCCAATTCCATTAAGATAAATTTGGCCAAATTTATACATCTATAAGAATTATTCAATTCTACAGATATTTGATAGTATTTGGATGCCTTATTCAAAAGTATTTCCATAACCAAGTATTAGTATTCCCTTAAAATTTCCCATATCTGCTAATTTTTTACAATCAGTAAAACTCAATTGATCTAATGCACTAGTAATTATAGGTTGCTACCAATAGAAATCAGGTCAGGCCGATTTATTAAATAAATCTGCTTTGCACCAACTCATATTCTAGAAATAAAGTAAAAAAAACTCGGAGAAGGAAAAACAAACAAAAAATTAGATTAAACAAATAAAAATATTAGAATGTCAATTTCTCTAATACTTAACTATATAAAATGCTAACCTAAATTAAAATCTACAAATATATAAATCGGTAAGATAATACATTATATAATTTCCAAATCAGTTATATACATGCATTTTTTTTTAACAAGCCAATCACTAAATAAGATAAATCAACTTCAAAGAGTTTAAACTAGAGTTTTGCTAAGTGCCAGAATGGTACTATATTAAAACATAATACTTATACTAGGCACTATGTTTTAAATTTAGTACCATTCTAGCACTTGCAAAACCCTACCTACCCGCTTCTAATTATTTTCTTTATCATGCTGATCACTTTTTTCAGGAAAATTTCTTGAATCATGATACCAAGACTTACACTTAGCACATTGTCTTTTATTTTTATTTTTTTCTTTTAAAGTTGATTTCAATAGCTGACAAGTATTTTTTATTTGTAGGTCGGCCTTTCCCTTTGTGCTAAATCGGATCTGTGATATTATTAATGTTATTAGAATCTTCGGAAGATTCTGTAGACATTTTATTTTCTTTTTAATAAATTGTTGTAAAAGCTCTTCAAAAGCTTTGCTAAAATTGTTTAAGATCACCAAATTTAAAGCCTTTTTGCATAGCCCAATACCATGGCCATATATTTCTTTTTTTGAATCTAAATTTATAAAAGATTCATTGAATATCTCTTGCCCACGAATATTATTTAATGTTTTAAACATGCTAGTTTGAAATTCAGTTTCAACTTGAATTAGTGTAATTGATTTTTCTTGAACTTCTTTTTTTAACAAAAGTCCTTCTTTCGAATACTATCTGAAGGGCACAAGTTTAATATTAAACTGTGCTTTTTTTGATTGAAGCATCATGGCAAAAAAATGCCTACAAACAAATCTCACATAAACTAAATAAAGACAAATGCAGTAATGTGTACCATCATTGAATATGACCACATACTAAGATTTATTTGTAATAGTTTGAAGATGCTTAACCTCCTATATTTCACTCAAAACACCTTCTAAACAATCCTCCAAAGCCATGTTAATTAAAATTTGAGGTTCTTCATAATCATCTTCAAGAAACTCTTCATTATACTGATTTGAATTCTGCATTGTTATACTAATATCTTTAAGTTCATTTATCTGAACTCTATACAACAAGCTTTCCATCATTTGCTTCCATTGCAGTGCCAGCAAATTTGGTATAAGATATTTTTTTAATATTTCATCCATCGAATTAAAAATAGTATTAGAGACCCAGAGGATTCCAGTAGTAGGGTTCATATTCTGAAATTCTTGCGATCGTGAATATTTGGCTTCATCTTTTAGTCTTAATTCAACTTCGAACTGGAGTTGGCATAATGAATTTCCTGAATTTGCCTCTAATTTTATAACCTTATTCAAACTCTCTATGCATTGGGTTGAATGTGTATTGGCTGAAAAGCTATGTTTGGTAAATGCATAAGCCTAGCATGTTTTGGTCGGATACAATACATGTTCAAAATATTTTTGAACTTCTGGGTATTTATTAATTAAATTTGTCCAACAGCATTCAAAAGCTGTACTGGTAAGTGAATTGCACATAACATAAAAATCATTAATAAAAGTATCCCATTTACTTTGAAGTTTTGGTTTAACTTTCTTTATTAAATTTTGTCGAATATGAAAAGCACAATGTCTCACAATTGTCCTAGGATACTGGTTGCTTATCGCAACCTGCATCGCTGGGTCTGCATCAGTAAAAAGTGTTTTTGGTTAAAGATTTCCTGTTGCATGCTTAGTTTGTTCTAGAACCCATTTATAAGTTGATACAGTTTCATCACAAACCACTGCTGTTGCTACGATTTGACTTCTATGATCTGAATCAATTATTACAAAAATATTTAAGGGCATTAAATATTTGTTGGTTTTATAGGTGTTATCATTTATAACAATGTCATGGTATCGAATCCACATTTGCTTCTGCTCAGGTGATATTCAAAAAATTTTGGATAGTCTATTATCAATACCCTCAAATTCAACTTTGAAATAATATTCATGATCCTCTGAATGTAATTTAATTAAATGTTCTAGAAGTGTCGCAGTGTCATGTTTAACTTAAGAACCAGCTTTAAATTTATATATCGCATTATAAAGATCTTGGTGGTAAATGTCCTGATCTGGATACTTTTTTCTTAATATCTTTTTTAAAACAGTAGCTCCTAATTGACACACTTGTACATAAAATTTGATTTTATTTATTATATCGTCTGGTATTCTACGTAATGCTAGTGAGAATTTTTGAAGAGAATCTTGGTTTTGTAATAGATGGTTATGTTCATTAACAAATTTGTTAACAAATACTAGGTTCTCAGATTTACGATATAAAGCATTTACTTTAAAACCACAATCAATACAGACTGATTCTCGGTCTCTATTTTGTGTAGGATCCAACCTTTTTTTTGGTACATATTTTCCACTATGATGGCACTTATACGTCTTTCTTGCCCAATTACTCTCACCCTTTTCTACCCTTATTGTTCTTATTTCAAAGCCTATTCGGATGGCATATCACTTTAAACATTGTTCAAGTACTTCAAATGACACAAACGTTTGGCCACTATAAATTTCTCTCAATATGCTATCTTCTGGCTCATCCTCTTCACAACTATCTTCTGGCTCATAATATCCACAACTATCTTTATATAAATCATCATATGATTCTTCATAAATACTTTGGTATAGTAATAAACATTCAGGTTGGTCACTAGTTTCGGGTTGATCACTAGTTTCAGGTTGGTCACTAGTTTCGGGTTGGTCACTAGTTTTGGGTTGGTCATTATTTTTGGGTTGGTCATTATTTTTGGGTTAGTCACTAGTTTCGGATTGGTCTTGCAAACACATTGTTCTAAATTTTTATTTTTTTATTTTTTTGGTTAAAATTTCAACAATATATATATGCCACATAGCATTCAATAATACCTTAGTATTGGGTTGGGCTTTAGCTTCTATTGGGTTGGGCTTTAGCTTCAGGTTGGGCTTTAGTTTTTGTGTTGGTCTTTCAAGCGCATTTTTTAAATCACAGTTAGATTTTTTTTTTTTGATTAAAATTTTAATGATATATATATGCCACATAGCATTCAATAATACCTTAGTATTGGGTTGGGCTTTAGCTTCTACTAGGTTGGGCTTCAGCTTCGAGTTGGGCTTTAGTTTGTGTTAATCTTTCAAGCGTATTTTTTAAATCACAGTTAGATTTTTTTTTGGTTAAAATTTTAATGATATATATATGCCACATAGCATTTAATAATACCTTAGTATTAGGTTGGGCTTTAGCTTCGGGTTGGACTTTAATTTGTGTTGGTCTTTCAAGCACATTTTTTAAATTACAGTTAGATTTTTTTTTTGGTTAAAATTTCAGTAATATATATATACTGCATAGCATTCAATAATACCTTAATATTGGGTTGGGCTTTAGCTTTGAGTTGGGCTTTAGTTTGTGTTTGTCTTTCAAGTGCATTTTTTAAATTACAGTTAGATTTTTTTTTTGGTTAAAATTTCAACAATATATATATATACCACATAGCATTCAATAATACCTTAGTATTGGGTTGGATCTTTAGTATTAGGTTGGGCTTTAGCTTCGGGTTGGGCTTTAGTTTTTGTGTTGGTCTTTCAAGCACATTTTTTAAATCACAGTTAGATTTTTTTTTGGTTAAAATTTCAACAATATAAAGGTGCAAAATCAGCATACATTCCTACAAACAGGAATGGTAATACTAAGAGATTTGCAATAATTACATTTGCAA